CACACCTTCCTAGAAAAATCATCAATGATGGACAGAAAATATCTCTTACCCCCGTGGGTAGAGACACTAGCAGGACCCCACACATCAGCATGAACATACTCTAACACAGAGGTACACTTAGTGGGATTAGGATATGGGGAGGAGGGGAATGTAACCTTATGCTGCTTGCCTAACACACAAGATTCGCAGAAGGGGATGGGGGACACAGAATCCTTACCAAAACAACCAGATTTATGCAAAATCTCTAAACCCCTATTACTCATGTGTCCTAATCTATTATGCCACAAAGCAGATTTATCAGAACTAACAACATGAGCAGAATCACAGAAAGGCTGAGCATGGCACACATACAAGTTATTCACCTTTTTTGCCTTAAACAAAACAAGGGAATTTTTCAAAACTTTCATGCACCCATTACCCCATTTACCCTCTAACCCACTACCCTCAAAAGCAGCAACAGAAAACAAGTTATGACGCAAATCAGGAACATGCCTCACATTTTTCATAGTAAACACAGTCCCATTATCAAACTTCAAGCATACATCACCCACTCCATGAATTTTGCATTTCTTATTATCAGCAAGAGACACAAAACCATCATTGCAAGAATAATAAGAAGAAAACAGGGATCTAAAAGGTGTCATATGATAAGTACAACCAGAGTCAATCAACCACTCATTTTCAGTCATGCTACTCAACACAGAATTGGCAGAATCACAAATCATAAAAACTTCTTCATGCAAGTTATTATCATCTACCACATTAGCATGTTCAGACTTCTTCGGATGGGGACAATCCTTAATGAAGTGACTAGAATTACCACAATTATAGCACACTCTCTTCTTAGACTTACCTCTCTTCTTCCCCAGGTCATTGTTTTTGTTCTTATCGTTGTTGCCCTTCTTATGGTTTCTAGATCTACTCTTAGACCTACCCCTCACAAACAACGCTTCACCTGAGTCCCTAGACTGACTGTTACTACCCCTCGAGTGTCTAAGGTCTAACTCCTTACTCCTTAATCCATTAACGACTACATCCAACGAGATATCATCTCTACCATACTTTATGGCAGATTTGACGTCATTGTAAGAGTCAGGGATGGCATTAAGTAACACTATGGGTGTGTAGTCATCTATGTGTTTATCACCAGCTTGCTTAATATTCTGAATAAGCTTGTTAAACACATCTAGGTTCTCATCTATGTCCTTAGACAGGTCAAGCCTAAATCTAAAGAACTTCTCAAGCAAAAACAATTTACCAGGCAAAGAAGTATCAGTATACGTCTTATCTAACTTGTCCCACAAAGCCTTTGCAGAATCTATAATACCCACCTTCCTGAGTACTGAATCAGAAAGGTTCAAGTATATAGAGGAACAAGCAGTTTCATTCATTTCATCGCGCTTAGCAGCATCCTCAGAGTCTAAATAGAGACCAGTCACTGCTCTATAGACTTTCTGTTGGATCAACACGCATTTGATTTTCTGTTTCCAGATATCAAAATCTGTCTTTCCGTTAAATGGAAGCATGCCATATTGATTGACAGCCATATTAACCAGAAAGCAAGCACAACACGCAAGAGAGTAAATAAAAAATTTATCAGACTATCAACCGGTACGAAGCAACTAGCACGAACAAGCCGAGAAGACCAATGAACACAAGGCTCGGGTACAATCTTCTTGTTCTTTCGTACCGTACGAAGCAACTAGCACGAACAAGCCGAGAAGACCAATGAACGCAAGGCTCGGGTACAATCTCCTAATTCTTTCGTACAAGCAAGATAAAATTTTTATTTACTCAACAGACAGATAAATGATTAATTATAACCTATAGGGCTATCAATTGTACGAAGCAACTAGCACGAACAAGCCGAGAAGACCAATGAACACAAAGTTCGGGTACAATCTCCTTGTTCTTTCGTACAAGCACAAATAGGCTAAAATTAAATCAACAAGCAAAGAAACTGGATTTAAAACTAATCCGGACAGAAATATTCCCAACTTCGGACAACAAGTATCCAAACAAATATTCTTAACCGGAGAGTTTATCCACGAATCAATCAACAGAAAAACAAAATAAAAAATTCAACACGTGATTAAATTTAAACCGGAAGAAATATTCACAACTTTGGACAATGAGTATCCAAACAAAATATTCTTCACCGGAAAATTAATTCACGATTCAACAAGTAATCACAATTCAACTAACAAGTAAATAGCAATTCAACTTGAAATTAAAAAAGAATGAACTACGAATAAAAATCACACAAAGGATTAGTAAACGTACCAGGGGCCGGACACAGCCGGCATCCAAGACCACGTAGGTCAACAGCGGGGAGCGGGGGAAAAAATAAATCCGGTGGCACTCCGGTACACCAAGGATGTTTATCGCCAATTTACCTGAGCGGGGCCCGAGGTTGGGTTACCCGACTTACCGTAGGCAGCGTGGGCTGCTGTAGACTCGGTGGCAGCGGACTGGAATGGCGGCAGCGGCACGGCAGCAGACTTGACTGGCGGCAGCAGCTGCTTGGCAGACTCCCTGGCAGAACCCGTCACTTGGCAGACTGGTCTGGACGGCTGGAAGCTTCTGGGAGGCGGCAGCAACTCTGGACGGACCTCCAGCGACCTCTGGACGGCGGCGTACGGCGGCGTACGGCGACGATGCGGCGGCAGACGGCGGCAGGAGGCGGCAAGGCTCTGATACCACTGTTAGATGGGTTATCTTCCAGCTCAGGTCTCCAATTTTCATCCACAAAGGATGAATTCCACCACCAAGGTCAACAAAGGAAGAAGGGGCGTCAGCCTTCAAACCTATTTCCGGCCAATTCTGTCCGAGCACCCACAAAGGAGTAAGAGGCGAGAAGAAAATGAGGTAGGGTTAATTTCAGTTCGGCCAGCCCTCCCATCGGCAGAGAAGAGTCGATTAAATAGAGCGAAGCACAAAAGCTAAAATGGAAACTTACCAAACATGAAGATACGCAATGAATTACGAAGGGAGGAAAGAAGGTATCCAGCTGTTGAAGGTGAGGTGCGAACGAGAGTAAGGATACAAACATGGGTGGGATTCTCCTCAAAATGTAATTGGGCTTATGGGAAACATAAGGTTGGGCCAATACCAACACATTCTCCACCTTATTGGACCTTAGTGGTGTAGAGCACAACACTCTAAAACAATATGAGACTCATCATCGCTGGATTGCCCGAATAATCACAACACCCCAGCCACTTCTTGGTCAGCGCTGGATCCCTCGTCGCCGGGAGGAGGTTCTCCGGCGTCGCGGCGGACGATGACTTGGAGTTCGGGACTGTTTACGTCATGTTTCCGATGAAGAGGTTGGGTTCGGTGATCACCGCCGCCGACGTGGGGATGCTTGTCCGGACGGCAGCCGCCTCCGCGGCGAAAAGGGTGTCTGCTGAGAACGGGAGAAAGGTCTCTCCGGCAGAGGGAGGTGTTGGTTCTCCGGGAAATGACGTCGGCCGGATCGACGTTGGGATGGAGTATCGCCGGCATAGGTTGTCTACTTGTAGATCGAAGAAACCTTTGTTGGAAACAATTGCGGAAGAACCTGGCCGTACACGTGGGAGTTGACAAGGAAAATCTATACCAGGGTTTTTTTAGAAATGCTAGACGCGTACGTAACTATTTTGGGTACCTCATTCGCATACACTATCTACCCAAATAGAGTTGTCTGTATACAAATAACCATGTTCGGAATTACAAAGTTGTCTGTATATAGACAGCTCTGTCTGTATAGACATCGTGTGCGTATGAGGTACACAAAATGAGGCACTCCTAGTTTTTTTTCTTTTGAGTGAAAAGTGAAAACACATTTCTAAATCTAGAAATGTTAGGAGGACAATACGTAATGTGAGATAGGATAAAAAAACACCTTAATAACCTCAACTATAGCATTTATTCGGTTTTTTGCCTGTGAACAGACAATTTATTCAATGTCAACGACAAAATATTTTTCTCGTGACAATGGAAAAAAATTGTTTATTCATAGACAAAACATTGAGTGTGTACAAGAAGTAAAGTTGTTAACTCTAGTATGAGGAGATTGTGATTTTCAACCAATGATGTAAAACTCTTTTAACCTCTTTTCCATTTTACACAATAAATAATGTAGCATAATAAAACTAATTTAGCCTAGAGATGTATTTACATTATTATTTCAATCACATCCTTCGAAGAAATAAATGAACTTATTTTTACAATATTATTATTATAGTTGTTATTTTTTTCATTTAAAATAAGTGAAAATAAGTTTTATTACGCTTCATCATCACTTCGCAACACCCCGACATTAATATAGAGATATGGTTAGGGAAGAATTAATATTCAAGAAGTCAAATTTAAGAAAGTAACTCACAATTTTAATATTCAACGAGTTTCAAGATAGCAAAACCAACATAAAAGAGTTAATAACACATCATTTGGACTCTAATAAGCATGCTAGAAATATAAATGAGATACTAATCTAAATGCTAGAAATGGCGTACTTATAAGCAAGATGGGCTAATTAAGTCGAATACCCCACCGAGTATTGACTATACCCAACCGGGTATTTTCCCAAATAAGATCGTTCTTTTGATCTTCAGAATTCATGTTTGCCTTCTTTTGGTTCATATCATACACCCTTACACCTCTTTTGGTAATTTCAAAAATAGAAATTATACACTACTAACAGAGCATAAAGAGTACATCATAAACTAAACTAAACATGTAAAAACCACAAAAAAACAATAATAAAATAACAAACTTATGCAGTAAGAAATAGTGCATATCACTACCTTATAGAGAATGATCGTCGTACTTTTTAGAGATGTTCAGGATCACCACGACAGCATATATCGATGACATACTAATCAAAAGTAAGAACGGTTGGAAAATGGTAATTCGGTTCTACAAATTAGTATTATGGTTATTCATATTATTTGTATGTTGGATAATTGATACCCATATCCTATAACTAAGAGAGATTGAACAAGAATAAAAAAGAGTAACGGAGAAGAAGAAGAAAATGTGTATTGTGTATGAACTATGAGTTCTAGAGTTATCTTTACAAGCCTCCTATAAGGAGTATATATAGGGAAAATCCGGGTCTGGGCCTCTAATACGGGCCTGACAGACCCGGTTACATAAATGGACTGATAGTATAAAAAGCTAATCTAGAACATTTGAATAATACTCCGTAATGTACAATAATACGAATCCGCTAAACGTGTGTGAGCCGCTGTCCAGGCCCAGTAGTCGGCAGACCGGGGGGTCGGAGTCCATATACACCATCAGGAGTCCCCCACTCCCTGAGTCGAGAGTACTCGAGGCGAAAGGGAGTAGTCCAAACTGTATCTGCAACGTTCTTCTGTCTTCGGTTTCTTCCTCTTCAGCTGGGGGACCACCACCCTTGTCAATGATGGGGAGGTGCCTCGTTAAAAACCTTTACTAGGAAAAAACCCAGTGGGAAAAAATCCTAATAAAGGGAAAAAGAGTACACCTAGCGCCCCCAACATAAAACAAGGAAGGTAGGCCCCCTCCGGCATAATCACTTTTGTCTAGCTCAATCTGTCTTCATCTGGCTCATCTCTTGTTCCTGCTCATGTGTGATATTTTCTCCTCATTTAGAAACTCTGACCCCTCAGTCCCCAAGTCCCCACTCTTTGAGGCGAGTGGAGACGAGGTGAAAATAAGTAAGGTCATCTCTGTACCTACACATTTAACATACATATAAATTTTTTCTTGGGATTTATGTTTCCGATCGGGAGTTCATCACTTGAAACAAGTGGAGATGTGAATTGTTAATGTAATGATAAAATACTTAGTAGAATGGATGTGTGAGTCATTCATAAGCAACGGTCGCCACTCGAGGAATGACTAAGACCGGTCTGCGTGCCCGACTTGGTTGGGGCTTTGTCTTCGTGCCCGACTTGGTCGGGGCTTTGTGCCTGAGACTGAGAGTCAGGGCTTTAAATCCTAGTGATGGGTCTCAAGCCACACTCTACTAGGCATTTGATCATAAGTGCGTGATAGTGTGACATTCATCCGACAAAATAAATCATTTAAATAAATATAAATAATAAGATAATTAAAGAGTACTTATCTTTTTTGGAGTGGGCTGAAATAATGGACAGTGTGGGGCCTGTGGGATGATGAAGAAATTGGGCCTGATCCTTTAGTGAACTGCTCCGCCTAATAATTTTGGCCAGGTCTACGAAATGCTCCAATTAGCTGGCAAGCGACCAAGAGGACAACCTGTCACCTTACTCTCTTGCCTCTGCAGGCGGTGACAAATCAGTTCCGGAAAGACAGTTCATCAAGGACCAGTGGGGCACTGTGTCTGTCCCTGGTTGCGTAGGAGTCCACGAAGCTCCAGCACAACTGTCAACAGCCATTAATGGCGGGCCTCTAGTCCTACGGGTCGCAATTTTACACAAATCCAGGTCATAGACTCGCAGGTTGAGGAGACAAATGCGTGAGAGAGCATTGCTGCCTGTTGCTTTGAGATTTGAGAACCTGGTAATGGCACTGAAAATTCTATGGAAGGGTCAAGGGGTCTCAGAGCATAAAGGGGCGTTGAAGGTAGTGGTCAAGAAGACCGGCTCGAGGGACGAGCTGTGAGCAGCGGTTCTGCTTTGCAGGTGACGGAGCTGGCTGCCGACGGAGTTCCGGCGAGATCTTCAACGAGCTAGGCGAGACGACTGTTCTCGACAGTTGGGTGATGATATCTCCGGCTGGGAGTGTATGGCCGTATGGTCTAGTTGCTCAACCAGAAGTCCAAACCTGAAATTCCAAACCCGTTTTTGTTCTCTCTGAACTTTTTAGAATTGGATGGCGACCGGAATTCTGGCGAAGGGACCGTGAGCTCGGCAGCGCTGGAACGGAGCTAGCAGAAGCCTGGATGTGAGGTGGCCGAGCTAGCCGGGAGGGAATACTTGATGGCCTTCTCTGTGTGCCTATTGTTGGAATTTCACTCCCAGTTGCAAGGTAATGGCTCCTAGTTTAGAATTAATTAATGTTTTTTTTTTTTAATCATTATTTTTCTGTTGCACCCAAGCCTATTTGTGTGGGACTGTTGGGCAGATTTTATCTCTTCCAAACTTGATTATTTACAAAACTTATCTGATTTTGAATCAGTCCCAGCAGTTATCTATTCCAATTCCCACTTCCTTATTTTTAGGCTTTCTTCTCTCTGAGTTTAGTAAAGCACGATTGAGTTTTCTGGCTATAAAAGGAAGGCATCTTGATGAATTCATACACAGAAAAAGGATCCCTATCCTTGCTTTCTAAAATATTCTTTGATCTTCAAAAAGGTTTCCAGGCAATTGTAGTGTGTGAGTTCCAAGTCTTTTCAGACGAGTGCACGTCTGCGAAGGCTGGTTGCGTTAACCTTGGGGAGCGAACCGCAACAGTCGATTGCACCCCGGTCGTGCCGGATTTCGCTTTCAAGGCAGTGGCTCTTCTTACCACGGCGCAATTTCTTATAATCTTCCGATAAGTATTTCTTGTTCAGTTTACTTTCAGTCATTCATTTTTCTTACAATTTGAAAGCGAAAGGCATATTACTGTAGTAAACTGAAAAATGGCGTTTCCTCAATCAAAAATTGTTTTTGATATGTCTAAGATGGATCAACTTGATGGTACTAACTATAAAAGGTGGTCTCAGAAGCTTTTAATCTTTTTTGAGCAATTGGAGGTCGATTATGTTTTGTTCTCTGAACCCCCTGTGGAGACTCCAAGAAGCCCAAAAACCCCTGCATCTGGCGTGGTTACACCTGCAGGTGATCTGTCCGGAAAGAGTGAATCTGCTGAGAACAAGCTGAAGTTTGAAAAGGACAATCGAACGGTCAGGGGGCATATTCTTCACCACATGACCAACTCGTTGTTTGATCTTTTCATTGGTTACAAATCTGCTAAGGAGATCTGGGACATGCTGGAGAAGAGGTATGGTGGTGATGATGCTGGAAAGAAGAAGTACATAGTGGGAAACTGGCTTGATTTTCAGCTTGATGATCATAAACCAATTATGGAGCAAGTCCACAAATACGAGAATCTGGTGGCTGACATCTTGAGCGAAGGAATGAAAATGTGTGAAGTGCTGCAAGCCAATGTACTGCTGGAAAAATTTCCCAAGTCCTGGAGCGACTATCGTGCAAAACTTAAACACAAGAAGAAGGATATGTCTCTCCAGGAGCTTATCAGCCACATACGGACTGAAGAGGCTAATCGTCTCAAAGATAAGGCTTCTACTTTATCTAGTATTTCTGTTAAAGCTAATCTTGTTGAACCTTCTGGTGCTCAAAAGAACAGGTACACGCATAACAACAAGAAGGAATCACATCAGAAAAGGTTTCCTACAAATAAGGGAGCTGGGCAGATTCACAAAGCCAAGGCTTTGTGCTATGTTTGCGGTAAACCTGGTCATAAGGCGTACAAATGCAAAAATCGAAAAGGCCCACAGAACGGGAATAACAAACATGCTGATACGCCCACTCCTCAAGTCAACCTTGCTGAAAACGATGACATTATCGCTGCGGTGGTTGTTGAGGCAAATCTGGTGGAGGATAAAGTCACCTGGATACTGGATACTGGAGCTTCCCGACACTTCTGCTCAAACAAGGAGCTGTTTCACCAATTCGAAGATGCTGAAGATGGAGAGCATGTCTACATGGGAAACTCCGCAACTGCTGGAGTTTTGGGTAAAGGGAAGGTTCTACTTAAACTTACCTCTGGAAAAACCTTAGCATTGAGTGATGTCCTGTATGTCCCCTCCCTTCGTAGAAATCTGATTTCTGGTGCTTTGTTAAATCGGGTGGGTTTAAAAATTGTGCTTGAGTCTAATAAGGTTGTAATCACCAAAAATGGGGACTTTGTGGGAAAGGGGGTACCTAGCTGACGGTCTCTTTGTTCTTAGCACGGTTTCAGATAATGCAAAATCATCACCCTCTTTTGCTTACATGGCTGAATCTGTGAATGTGTGGCATGGTAGGCTTGGTCATGTTAACTTTGGGTCATTGAAAAAACTCAGAAACATGCACCTGATAAATGTGAATGATACAACCGAGCACTCTAAATGTCAAATATGTGTTGAGGCCAAACATGCTAGAAAACCTTTTAAAGAAATCACAACTAGACAAACAGAGTTGCTGGAATTAATCCACTCTGATCTGGCAGACTTTAAGAACACAGAAAGTAGAGGAGGCAAAAGATACTATATGACTTTCATCGATGACTTTTCGAGATATGCCAAAGTTTATCTTTTAAGGTCTAAAGATGAGGCTGGAGAAATGTTTATGAAATATAAAGCAGAGGTTGAGAATCAGTTAGATAGAAAAATCAAAAGACTTCGCTCTGACAGGGGAGGTGAATATAACACTAATTTCCTTAAAGAATTTTGTGAAAAACATGGTATAATACATGAGAGTAGTGCCCCTTATACCCCCCAACAGAATGGTGTAGCCGAGAGGAAAAATCGTACTCTAAAGGATATGATGAATTCTATGTTATTAAGTGCTGGTTTGTCTGATAATTTGTGGGGTGAAGCTGTACTTTCTGCATGTTATATTCTGAATAAAGTACCTCATAAAAGGATTGAAAAAACCCCCTATGAATTGTGGAAAGGGTATTCCCCTAATCTTAATCACTTAAGAGTGTGGGGGTGTATTGCTAAGGTTGGCTTCCCTGATTTTAAAAGAACAAACATTGGGCCTAAAACTTTTGATTGTGTGTTTATTGGTTATGCTCAAGGTAGTGCTGCATATAGGTTTGTGTCGTTAAATGATAGAACTATATGTGAATCCCGTGATGCTGAATTTTTTGAGCATATCTTTCCATTGAAGAAGCATGTTGATAGAAATGATTGTGATTCATCTGTTGTGAATAATCTGCATAATATTCATGCTAGTTCTGTGCCTGTGCTACCTGTGTGTTCCCTGGATACACCAAAACATGTGACTGGGACTAGGAAAGGTAAAAGAAAAAGGAGAGAAACTAGTTTTGGACCGGATTTCTTAACTACCTACCTGGTTGAACACTCTGATCAAATTGATGAGAGTTTTGTTTCGGTTTTCCTTTTAGAACAAGACCCTAAAACGTACAGTGAGGCAGTAACTTCCATAGATGCTAGCTTTTGGAAAGAAGCCATTAGAAGTGAACTTGACTCAATTATGTGCAATCATACATGGGATCTAGTTGATTTGCCTGAGGGATGTAAACCTATAAACTGTAAGTGGATATTTAAGAGGAAACTGAGACCTAACGGAACTATTGAAAAGTTCAAAGCTAGGTTAGTTGTAGTTGGTTACACCCAAAAGAAAGGCATTGATTATTTCGATACTTATTCTCCTGTAACTAAAATTGCAACCATCAGATCTCTTGTTGCCCTAGCAGCTATTAATGACCTTGTTGTACATCAAATGGATGTTAAAACAGCTTTTCTGAATGGTGACTTAGAAGAAGAAATATATATGAGACAACCCGAGGGTTATGTAGTGCCTGGACAGGAGAATAAAGTGTGTAAATTAAAGAGGTCCCTATATGGATTAAAACAAGCACCCAAGCAGTGGTATGAAAAATTTAATAATACTGTGGTAGGGAATGGGTTTACAGTGAATGCATCTGATTCATGTGTTTATTCAAAAATGTTTGGACCACATTGTGTGATAATTTGTCTTTACGTTGATGATATGCTTATATTTGGTACGAATGAGGATGTAGTAACTAAAACCAAACATTTCTTGTCCTCTCATTTTGAAATGAAAGACCTGGGAAAGGCTGATTTAATTCTTGGTGTTAAGTTAACCAGGACTGAGAATGGCTTTTCCATGTGTCAGTCTCATTATATTGAGAAGTTGCTGAAAAAATTTAACTATTTTGATGTAACACCTGTGAGAACTCCCTATGATCCTAGCACTTCATTGAAAAAGAATGAAGGTTCTAGTATCTCACAAGAAGAATATGCTAAAATATTAGGAAGTGTTATGTTTCTCATGAACTACACTAGACCTGACATAGCATATGCAGTTAGTAGACTGAGTCGTTATACTCATAATCCAAGCTATGAACACTGGAATGCTCTTCATAGATTACTCAAGTACTTGAAAGGTACAATGAATTGGTGTTTGCACTTTAATAAATTTCCTCCTGTTTTGGAAGGTTTTTGTGATGCAAATTGGGTTACTGACAATGATGAAGTTAGCTCCACTAGTGGCTATGTCTTTACTCTTGGTGCAGGGGCTGTCTCATGGAAGTCTGCTAAACAAACATGTATAGCTCGTTCTACCATGGAGGCTGAATTCATTGCCCTGGAGTTAGCAGGGCAAGAGGCAGAATGGTTGCGGAATCTGTTAGCCGACATTCCGCTGTGGGGAAATAAGTGTGTTCCTGTTCCACTACACTGTGACTCACAAGCTGCCATCAGTGTTGCGGTGAGCAGTGTCTACAATGGGAAAAGAAGACATATTCGCATCAGACATGCTTCTCTTAAGCTACTAATTAAAAACAGCGTCATTTCCTTGGATTATGTGAAATCGGAAAGGAATTTGGCAGATCCTCTAACTAAAGGACTTGCTAGGAAGCTTGTTCTTGAATCGTCAAAGGGGATGGGGCTGATGTTCATGGACTGAAGCTATGCAGTGGATACTTTTGTGATGAAATATAGCTACATAGTCCTTCCTTGCACTCCTATTTGTTTGATGGCGTGTGATAGTATTTGTGTGGAAGGTGAGATTTAAAACTATTTAATTATTTAATAATTATGTGGATTCTTGAACGGTCCTAACGAGAAGGTCGTACTAGATTCACAGCCTGCTTTGGATTCATAGCCCGTTTAGGGTGGTCCTTGTGAGACGGACTTGATGAATACCATATTGTGGAGGCTGGACTTGTTGGTCCTTAATGGTTTCATATCCCATTCTTGGGAGGTCTATGTTTAGATAGACTTGATGAACCACCTACGTGAGTGTGAAGGTGGGCCGCCTTCTATGAAAGACATGGGCAGTCTTTTTAGAGCTCTCACTAGACCCGAGGTTTGACGTATGGCCATATAATAGGCGATTTGTGAGAATATCGCGGAACTTATAGACAATAAGGGTATGATATGTGCAGTGGGGGTCTAACACCAGTCTGATCAGTTCAAGAGTCATTCACTGCTCAAACTGTGTGATTACTTCATTGCGCTACGTGTCAATTCAATCGAAAGATATTGGCGCTTAAGTATACAACCCTTCCTTTGCCTGGAACATTGTTCTTAACTAGTAAGCCATTAGTGGGGGATTGTTGGAATTTCACTCCCAGTTGCAAGGTAATGGCTCCTAGTTTAGAATTAATTAATGTTTTTTTTAATCATTATTTTTCTGTTGCACCCAAGCCTATTTGTGTGGGACTGTTGGGCAGATTTTATCTCTTCCAAACTTGATTATTTACAAAACTTATCTGATTTTGAATCAGTCCCAGCAGTTATCTATTCCAATTCCCACTTCCTTATTTTTAGGCTTTCTTCTCTCTGAGTTTAGTAAAGCACGATTGAGTTTTCTGGCTATAAAAGGAAGGCATCTTGATGAATTCATACACAGAAAAAGGATCCCTATCCTTGCTTTCTAAAATATTCTTTGATCTTCAAAAAGGTTTCCAGGCAATTGTAGTGTGTGAGTTCCAAGTCTTTTCAGACGAGTGCACGTCTGCGAAGGCTGGTTGCGTTAACCTTGGGGAGCGAACCGCAACAGTCGATTGCACCCCGGTCGTGCCGGATTTCGCTTTCAAGGCAGTGGCTCTTCTTACCACGGCGCAATTTCTTATAATCTTCCGATAAGTATTTCTTGTTCAGTTTACTTTCAGTCATTCATTTTTCTTACACCTATCTCTCCACTGCAGGCGGGATCTGGGTTAGCTCAAATCTGGACGGAAAACCTCCGGCAACCGCAATGTTGAACTAGCGGCATCCACAGGAGGGGTCTGGATTTTCCAGATTCCTTCATTATTTTCGGATTTTCCAGAATAGTTTCTTGCATTTCGACAAAGATCTTGACTGATTTTTTGTGACTGCGAAGAATTTTTGGTTAATTTGGGAGGGTTTCTTACTTGATTGTGTTCAAACTCTCAACGAGAGCACCATTGTTGGATATATTATACCCATATCCTATAACTAAGCGAGATTGAACAAGAATAAAAAAGAGTAACGGATAAGAAGAAGAAAATGTGTATTGTGTATGAACTATGAGTTATAGAGTTATCTTTACAAGCCTCCTATAAGGAGTATATATAGGGAAAATCTGGGTCTGGGTCTCTAATACGGGCATGACAGACCCGGTTACATAAATGGACTGATAGTATAAAAAGCTAATCTAGAACATTTGAATAATAATGTACAATAATACGAATCCGCTAAACGTGTGTGGGCCGCTGTCCAGGCCCAGTAGTCGGCAGACCGGGGGGTCGGAGTCCATATACTCCATCATTGTAAGAAACTATTTTGAAATGAATGAGAAATTGTTTCCCGAAAGATAAGCGTGGAAATATATCTCACGCGCAAACACCGCCGTTGTCGTCTAGTCGACCGGGTCGGGTTTCGGGTTCGGTTCTTGATCCGCCCCGTCCACACATGGCTTAGAGATAGATTCCTATTTTTGGCTTCTCTATTTTTCGAATAAACTCTTGGCTTAATAGACATGACTATTCTTTTTTAAAGAAAGATCACGAGCTTTAATTTCTTTAATTAGGTGTCTCTTGGTATAGAGTCTCCTAGCCAGAGAACTCTATAAATATGTCTTCATGCCTACGAACTTGGTATCCGAAAAAAATCCTCCTACCATCTCCATCTTGTTCCTTTGCTCCTCCATTAAAATGCTACATCTTTGAGTTTGTTGGTGTCCTTCGGGAACGTAGAAACCGTTCTATCCTAGGCGGAGATTACTACTTGCGTTGTGGGCAAATTCGTCTCAAGGAGATAACGATTCGTTGGGCTCGGTTTCATCCAAGTATTTCTATGTTCTTCTCTTTATATTTAATCAATGCATACATTTTTTATGAATTTGGGATAACAGGAAGAATGAAAATCACGCCCGAGACATGGAGAAGACTTTTGGAATTATGGAGACTGCCAACATGAGACTCAACCCTCATGTGTTTGCAATCAAGGGGGCAAGTTCTTGATATACATGAAGAGAGAGCAAGGGATAGAGCCCACTTCAGAGAAAGTAAAGGTTTTCAACAAAATGCAAGAGCCCTTGAATTTGAAGGAGGTACAAAAACTAACTAGCCTCAAACACTTCGTGTCAAAAATGATGGATCAAGCCATTCTTTTCTTTAAGCTCATGAAAAGCCCATCCCATTTGAGTGGACCAACGCGCGTGAGGTTGCATTCGAGGATTTGAATGAAATCAGCAATATCACCCTGATCTGCCTCAAAGAGACAAATAGGAATCAGATTCTATTTACTACTCCCTCCGTAACTTAAAAATCTTCTCACTTTCTTTTTTCGTCCGTAACACAAAAATCTTCCCATTTCTAAATCTTCCCATCATACCCTCAATAATTCTTAAAATAATACACTATTACAACTACTTTTTTTGGATTTATCCTACATTCCACCACATTATTCCACTATTTTCCCATCATACCCTCAATAATTCATATCATCTTTCACTATTCTTAATCTACCTACTTTTGAAATGGGAAGATTCTAAAGTTACGAAGAGAGTATGTTAGAAAGGCACTGAATTAGTCGGAAATGACTGACCGCCACCATCAAGAAATTGACTCTTATCTCCAAACTATTCCATCACAACCCTACACAACTCAGCCCATCGCTATTATCTTTTGTGATTGTATGGCGAATTGGAGAAATAATTTGTCACATACACATGAGTTTTAGATGACAATATCTAGAACTTTTCGTTATTTTTTAAAAACGATGAATGAAGTAGATTGATTCAGATTAAATTGAATAAGGGCTGAAATGATAAATTACTCTCTCCGTCCCACTAACAATGGGACAAGAGAGAATGACACACAAATCTATAAAAAGCGGTTTATGTGATTGATATTGAATTGATAAAGTAAGAATATAGTAAGAATGATTAGAACCACCCAAACTTTACCAAAGAGTTAAGGTTCAGATTGGTACTCGAAGTTGCATAAAAAGGGTCAAATAAGTTTCCGGTGGAATTTTTAGATGAAATATTTTGAGAATCTTATTCATTAAGTCTAGTTTACTCATGCCAAATTTCAGCTAAAAATTCAACCGGGAAGGCATTCAAATGAATTCTTGAAGATAACTGCGAAGTTAAAAGCGCAGTTATCTTCAAGAATTCATTTGAATGTCTTCCCGATTGAAGTTTAGCTGAAATTTGGTAGAAAAGATCAGGTCCCTCCGGAGGGACGGGAGGGACCGTCCGGCCAAGGCCATCAGAGGTCCTTCCCGATGGAATTTTTTGATGAAATTTTTTTAGCATGTTCCTCATCAAGTCTAGTTTATCCATACCAAATTTCAGCTAAAAATTCAACCGGGAAGACACTCAAATGATTTTTGGAAGATAACTGCGTTTTATATGTATATAAACTGAGCAGTTAACTTCCAAAAACCATTTGACTGCCTTTCCGGTTGAATTTTTAGCTGAAATTTGGTATGAATAAACTAGACTTCATGAAAAACATGCTAAAAAAATTTCATCGAAAAATTCCACCAAGAAGGACCCCAAATGGCGACGGCCGGACGGCGGGTCCTGTCCCTCCAACTGGACAATCAGGCCTCGTGATGTAGGTAGGTATGTTTACAAAAAACACACTCCAAACACAAAATGACGGATATTTTGGATCTAAAATATGGGCCGATTAACTTCCCACTGCGCCCTATTGACGGCCTTTAAAACGAATACACTGGTGGTATTCGGCCTGTTAATGGATGCTCCCTTAATAAAAAGGTAATCAAAAGGCAGAGTATGGGCTTATCGACCCACCATTATTCTTGCGCCAGACCCAACAAAACCCTAAATTTGGCGAACCATTATAAGTACGGAGGAGGCGAGCCTTCTTCCTCAGCTATTCAACCCCTCTCCGCTTCGTCTCTCTTCCTTCGACCGCGTTATTTTTCTGTATTGTTTGGCTTCATTGTTCTTACTGATCGATTTGATTAAATCAAGCATTTTTGTTTCTGCAATTAATGATTCGTTCCTCGGTGATGATCAAAACAGATGACGAGTCTGATTGAAATCCATTCAATAAATCGTGAGGACATATTCGAGGCATTTGTCTGAGAGGAATAATCACTGCCTTTTATTAATTTTGTGTTCGATTATCATACAATGGTCGTTTTTTGCTTCGAAAAGCTACTGTTTTTTGAACCACTAAAGCCTTTTTACGTATCTCATATAACTGGTATTCGATAGTTATTTATGGATTTTCTGACTTAAAACGGGGGTAATGCCATCTGTCTGATTGAATTACCAGGTTAAAGACGTGCGAGAATTAACTTCTATTTCCTTAATTTTATCTCCCAGAACTTTTAGCTAAGGTTTTAAATATTTTCAATCTCTTGTAATTCGTTCTGTGTAAAAATAAAGTTTGACGAAGTTAAAATTAACCGGTTATAAGATTGGTTAATACTCTGCGGTGATTTTTTGAATCTCTTTCTAACCTGCTACGTTAATGGATACATAGACCCGTGGAGGAGAGCTTTCCTATCCGTAATTCAAGTGAAAAAAGATGACAATGATTATGAAGCCAGTAGTATTAAATTTCACGTGAAATAATTTTAATGGACTCGATAGATGGATTAAGATTCACTTGTAGAGGTTTTCAAGTTAAATTTTACTGGGTATGTAAGACATCCTAATAATGAATCGTCTTGATCTTTATATTTATTAAAAGAAATTAAATTTTCAATTTATTCATTGAATGTTTTTTTGATTGAATTTTTAGTTTAAATTTGATATGAGTAAATTAGATTTAATGAACTAAGATGTCCAAAAAACTTTTAAAAAAAATTCCATTATGAACTTTTTCAAATAACGACGGTCGAATAGAGTTTTCTACATAAGAGTTTATTTGATTTTTTTTATGTAAGTTTGAGGGCTTATTTAATTTTTTTAAAATAATATTCCTTTCATCTTGTAAAGAAGTTTCTACATTTTTTTATCATAAATAGCAAGTTATCTAAATTAAAATTGTGCGAAATAGTGTTGAACAGTGTTGTAATGTCAAAATAGTTTAATTTATTTCCTAGTAAATTTATTTTCTTAATATGTGCGTAGGTCAACTCAAAATTTTTTTTGCAGGATGGAGGGAGTATCCACTACCCTATCACTCAAATATTAAGACAAGAGAGAACAACATACTTGTTAATAATAAATAAGTGTTATAATAAAATAAGGATGAATTAAAGTCACACAAAAAATAACAAATATGGTACTAATTAAATTTTGTGGATAAGCAATGAAAGAAAAATGGGACAAAGATCGTGAAACACTGAGGCTATGTTTGTCATTGCTTAAGAATTCTACTTAATTTACCGGTGACATCTTCCACCATCAGTGATGGCCGTCTTCGATGGGCCAATTGCCATCATCCATGATTTCTATCTTCAACGTGGCCGTCTGTCACCATCTTCTACCATCGATGACGGTGAAACTTTTTGGCCATCAAGATTTTGTGGATAAAAACATGATTTTGTTGAGTACCTCCATCGAAATAGAGGGTTGTAGATTTCCTTAGGCTAGATGCAAATATACTGTAGCAGGTTCCATGTTTGGGAAGATTCTTGTCCACTTATCTCTTCTCTAACCCTTTTTTAATTCAATATTTCATTTGGAGTATTTTTGTATTTTAACAATTTATTCCATCAAAATTCATTTTTTTACCAAATACTTCAACTTTTACATTTTAATAAAATCACTTCCATTTTTAAACACTTACTCTTTTACATTTTAATAAAATCACTTACATTTTTAAACTTTATCAACTTTTACTACAAATCACTTTTTTTTATAATCACTTAAAAAAACACTTTTCAAAAGCACAATTTCTTGTAAACATAGGGAGTGTTTGCAATTGCTTCAACTTTAAAAAAGTGATTTTTTAAAGTGATTTTCGGAAAAGTGATTAATAATAAAAGTCGATAATGTTTGAGAAAAAAGTGATTCTGAAAAAGTAAAAGTTGATAGTGTTTGGTAAAATAAGTACTTTTTGTGTAATAGAAAAAGTGAGAAGCAGTTTAAAGCACCCCCTTCTATCTGCTTCCAGCTTTTAGCTTTTAAGTGATTAATTTAAGCAGAAGCTGTCATTTGAAAACACTCTTTTCAACTTTTTTAACCTAAAAGCAGAAAAGTGATTTTTTTAAGCAACCCCAAACACTCCTATAGCCTGAAATAGAGAGAGCGACATTGGTTTTAGCATTAATTTTAATAAAATAACTCTTTAATATTTTCATAATAATATTTTAACCAAATACATTATCCTTAGTTTGTGGTAGGGCTGGACTCGGTTCGGGCCGGGCCCGGTTCGGGCCTTGAACCGGCCGGGCCTCTGTTCACCAAAAGTAGGGCCCGGGCCCGAACCGGCAGGTGACCGGTTCCGGGCCGGTTCCGGGCCAGACCGGGCCGGTTCACCCGCCCCAATTTTTTTTTTGATTTTTTGGCTTCTCTTATTTAACCCCCTACCCCTCCCCCTCAACCCCAAACCACCCCAAACCACCTCAAATGACCCAAAATACCTAATCCAACCCAAAAATTAAAAAAATTTCAAAAAAAAATTAAAAAAAAAAATTATTCCGGCCCGGACCGGGCCCGAACCGGCCGGGCCGGTTCACCAAATAGAGGGCCCGGAACCGGTATCCACCGGGCCGGTTCGACCCGAACCGCCGGTGGACCGGGCCACCGGGCCGGGCCGGTTCACACAGTAACCGGGCCGGGCCGGTTCCGGTTCGGGCCGCCCGGCCCGAGTCCAGCACTAGTTTGTGGCATCCTTAATTTGTTGCATGACTATGAGAAATTGAGAATAGAAAACCTGTTGTCTATTTATTAGAAGTAATAGAGGATAAAATGTGCACTAATATAAAGTACTCCGTATTTACAATACAAAGAAGCAATAAAGTATGACTATTTGATCAGCCACTTGATAAAATTTGATGTGACAATATAGATAGATTCTCTCACCTCAAAATTGAAAATAATAAAAATTGAGAATTACAAATTCACTCCCCACTAATCAAAGAAATACTTATATATTTATGATTAAAATAAACATTTTTTACAAAAATGTAGGCATGGCAAGAGGTCGGGGCGGGGCGGGGGGGTATTGTAAGACCCAGACCCGCCCCGTGACATGGCGGGGCGGGTCCGCCCCGCCCCGTGACCTGCACGGGTCCAAACTTGTTGACCCATGACCCACCCCATGCGGGGCGGGTCCGCCCCGCCCTGCCCCGTCGTAACCTAATTAGCTAGTATGTATTTTTATCTGTGAGAAGTTGTTACCAATTGAATCCTGTTGGGTTAATGGCCCAAGCTGAGGACCGACTCATTTACCCTTCCTTCCGGACGTACGTCCAGGTAGAACATTAAGCTAGCCTGGCAAGCCCATTTCCTCCAGGATGGACGAACGTCTGCAGATGGGGTTCGGGCTCAACGGCCCATCTCGACGAACGTCTATGCAGAAACAAGGAGTAGGACCACGGGCCACCTGAATGGCGACGAACGTCGTCAGAGCAAGCCCATAGCCATTGGAGGCAGTCCAGGCCACATGGCGAGAATCCACAAGGGCCAGGGGACGAACGGCCGACACCCCTTGGAGGCCACCTGGAGCAACCAACTCGCTCCCCTGGCGGACGAACGTCCCCACTAATTGGGCGGGAAACCTAGATTCTGGCGGGAAGTGCATTTAATGCTGAAGATTTGGTGGTTGAGACACCAGCGAACCACGGGATTCCACGTCAGTATAGCCAGCCACCTGCCCATTGGTGGGTATAAATAGAAGCATTTATTTCATTGTAAAGGGTTGGCAACTTTCTATTCTTAGCACTCTAGCTATAGCATTCTTACTCGCAGCACTTCTACTGCCTTGTAAGACGATCGGCCGACGAGCCTTAGTGAGAAGTATTGTATTAGGGAGTTATTAAGAGATAATAATACCTAATCATTTACTGGCTACCTTGTTGTTTCTTGATCCATCTCATTTGTTAGTTGGGCTAGTTTACTCACACATACTCCACTCGAAATCCTTGGGCTTACGTGTTGGACCCGAGGGTTGAA